CCCCCGCAGCGTCCCGCCCTCGCCTCTCCGCCCGGCCCCCGCCTCACCCCCGCGGAGCCCGCGGCGGCCCTGGCAGCTGCGCGTGTTCGTGCTTTTTGTTGCCCTCTTTAACGCTTCCTCCTGCAGTGCCGGTAACGTTGGAAGCCACGTAGGAGCAGCACGTCTGCGGCTCATGGGATCGAAGGGCTGTCTCGTGGGTCCCAGCCCCGAACGAGCGCGCACCCGGCGGCGCTGGGGGCCGGGTGCCCCGGGGGCGAAGGCGCCGGGCGGGCTCGGGGCGCCTGCAGCAGCCGCGCCTCGGTGAGCGAGGAGCCCGCGGGGCCGAGGCTCGCCGGCTGCTGCATGGGGGCTTGGAAGGGCGCCGTGAGGGAGCAGTGAGAGTCGAAGGGAGGCTGGGGTGGAAGGGGAGCAGACCTGGCTGGGAAGGGGTGCAGGAAACTTGCAGCGGTGAAGAGTAAGACGTGTCTAGGCAGAGTGTGAAGAGGACTCAGATTTCTTGTTCGCTTTGTCGCTTCAAATATCTGTCGGACGATAAATATAGTCCACGGGGTTTGGAGAGCTGTGAAAGATGAAGGTGGACCTTAGGGGCAAGCCTCTTATTATTTTAGCGAAGTATTTTGAAAGAAAACAGAAAATTAAATTTCAAGGAAATAGAAAGTTCAAAGAGAGTGTGTGCCTTATTAAAAAACCCCAAGTACTGCAGCCTGCAGCAGCTTGAACAGTGCTTACAGAATTCCCCAAAAATCTTTGCACATCAGTATTATTTGGAGTGCAGCTTGATTTGTTAGCTGGAGGCACGCTTAATGGACTCTCCTGGCCATTTCTCATCTCAGTCATGAAATTGTACTGAGAGGTCCCACATCTGCACTGATAAAGAGACTGGAAGCTAACAAGAAAATGAGATTAGCTTTCAAGGCTCTTACTGGAACACACTGCCAGCAGGAGAGGGAATTGTGTCCAGACATCATATCCATCCACATGGATCAGACAGCTTATTTTAGGAATGGACTGTAAGATCTCAAATTTTCATCATCATGTTGTCAAGATAATGTTTAATATGTTTAATGTCTGTACGCATTTATTTATTTACATATTTATATATTTATATATAGGGTAAAGAATTAGTGTGTAACTGCATGCCAACTTGGCATTTCTCCCTTTTTCCCCCTTTCCTGAGAGATGGGGAGGGGAAGCTGGTTTTCTAGTGTGTCTGTTATTTATAAGGCTGAACTTCTTGTTCACTTCTGATTGTTTATGGAGCACCATGCCAAAAAGGCCTTTATCTGTAAATCCAGCAGAGGATGGTAAGAGAGGTTTCTAGCAGGAGACAGAAATCTGGGGGAGTGGACAAGATTTCCTATTAGTTTTCCCCATGAAGAGTAATGTTTTATAATTACTCATAATTTATTATTATAGACAATGACTGTGTCTTGTTTGTCTTCCATGTAAATGAGAAAAATAAATCATAACATAAATTTAAGTATTTGTTCTCTTGGTAAACCACCTGCAAAAGTATTGCAGTCACAGTACAAGCAGTAGAGCAGAACACCAGTATTCTTAAGAATTAATTGGGTAAGCTTTAAGGGCAGATGTTTGATTTCACTGTTTTCCATCCACCCTGCCCTAATTACTTACAAAGCTACAGATGCAAAAATGTCTGATGCTGAGTCACCAACTAGAGTTGATATATATTGGTGCACTAACAAAGTACTGTCTAACAAGTACTTCCTATGGAGAAGAAAAAAAAAAAGCATTGAAGTCATTACTGTGTGTAATTATTTCAGGTAGAGTACTGAAGTTTAGTCTGTTATTCTCTAACTTTGGCACAAGTAAAAAATGGAGTTCTCTATACACTGACATAATTACAGAGGTTGTGATCCTTAGCTGACCATGCTGGCAGAGACCCATCATGTTTTTAGGGCAGCTTTGTGATATTTCAAGGACTGTGTTTCACTTATGTTTCTGTTCATGGATAGTTTTTGTTAGCTGTTCCTGAAAAAAAGAGATTAAATGGGTTTGTGCCTGGTTTTTACTCTTCTAACCTTGAGCCTGGAATATGAAGATGACAGGGCCACATGTGACAGGCCAGTGACAGATGTGACTGTATGCCAGCTGTAAAACAAAAGAAAAAAGTTATGTTGTTCACAATTTTGGAATTACTGACAGATAAAACAATAGAAAAAGTGGATCTCAGAGGCAAAATAAAGACAAAAGTGAACAAAAAGCAAGTCACAAATATGGGAAATTTAAAATACATAAATTATTTTGCTGTGAATTTTGATTGGTTTGAATGAAATCACTTTGTACAGGAATATTTGATTGATGAGGTAAGACTAACAACCCAGTGAGAACAAGTGCATGCAAACAACATTGAGAAAGTTTCAAAAATAGTTTTCTGTGCATGGCTAAACTTACATAATAGTTATGATGCAGGAGAATACAGTTTAAATGTATTTTGAATAAGGAGGACAGCTGTCTCACAGATATGCTTTCTGTGATTTGATATTAGCATCTCATTTGTAATTTGACATCTGCCTCCAGGATTTTAGGCTTTTTCTTGGAAAACATAAAGTATACCAAATGTTTCTAAATATCTAGATTTTTTATGCTATGTAAAAAGTTTAAGCAGTATTTTTAAATTTTTAAATTTAAAAATTTAAGAATTTTTAAATTAAAGAATTTAATTTTTAAATTAAAGAATTTAAATTAAAGAATTTTTAAACCTCATGCTTACTGCTAATTCTTGTACTAGTTTTAAGGAAGTAAAGTTTCGTTTTTCTGGAAAGTCAACAACGATCTAGCATTTTGTAATAAGACCTTCCCTACTAACCTTTGTAAAAAAATTACTTGTCTTAATTTTTCTGTCATATAAGTGTAACCCAAATATCTTATTTCTTCTGATAATTCAGACCTAACACTAGAAAGATGCAAGGTCCTAATATCTATCCTCAGACAGACAGAGGATCCTAACCTCAGTTTTGAATCCTGCTAGGGCTTGAATGTTACTTCATAAAGAGAGTGTGATCTTACTGTATGAGCCTTCTCTAAGGAAAGAGTTGCTCCAGTCCAGAAATTTTTATTATCTTCTCCATAAATGTCCCTAGCAACATTTACCTTTGTTGTAAAGTTTATGAGACTTAATGTTCTTGTCCTAGATTCCCAATTCTGCTTGCTCTGTACCTGAGTAAGGGAACAAAAGTAATCTTCAATTTGCAGATGAACCCTTGAGGGCTGAGCCTCCACCTAAATAGGGGGTGGGGGTGGAGTGTGCCAAAAATGCAAACACCATGTGCTGAAGTAAAAGGTCCAAAAAAGATGATTGCAGCTGCCAAAACCATTTTAACACAAAATACCGTCTGACGGAAGACACCTCAACCCACTTTTGAAAATAAAGAAAAGCACATTGTAGTGTGCTTCTTTTTGAAACAAAATGTCTACTGATGTGGGTCAGTATTAATTTGTAGGGACAGGAGTGGCTCATGCCTAAAGTTCCTTGGGAAAGGTCATGTTTTCTTCCTCAGACTATGTGTAATACATATTGAAAAGACTATTTCACTTTGCTTGTGTGTGCTAACACAGAATTCTGATACTGTTTGAGAGGCAAATTTTTCAGGTAAGTTTAAAATAAGTTTAATATGAATAGACTATGTCAGTACTGCATGATGAAGGACATGCTAGGACAAATTTCTTCCAAGACACTGGCTGGCAGTTAGTACTAATTACAGAATCAAAAATAATATGGAGTGCATGGCAACCCTGAGTTGCCAAAATTACTGTAGAACATATACTGGGTAAAACAGGGGCCTCTTATCCTACCACTGTGGTGGGTTTGACCTTGTCTTGCTGCCAGGTGCCTACCCAGCTCTCTTCTTCCTTCACAGAACAGGATTAGAAAATAAAATGGAAAAGCTAATGGATTGGAATAAAGCCAGAGAGATTACTCACCTGTTACCATGATGGTCAAAACAGACTCAACTTGGGAAAGATTAATTTACTGTCAATTAAAAATAGAGTGCAATAGTGAGAGGAAAAAAAAAAGGACAAAACTAAAACAACCTTCCCCTTAGTCACTCTGGCTTCTTCTCAGGTTCAACTTCACCCCTTCATTTTTGACTCTTCCTACTTCCCTCCCAAGTGCTGCAGGGGCATGCAGAAATATGATTGTCATTGTCATTGCCATTGTCCTATAACTGCTCCTCTCTCTGAGTCCTTCATCCTGGTGCTGTTTTTCCTCATGTCCTTCACAAACAAATCTAGTGTGGGTCCTTTCAATGGGCTGCTGTCCTTCAGAGACAGATACGCCAGCATGGGTTGCCGCCCCAGGCAGCTGCTCCTGCCAGGAGCCTCCTCTTGAATGAGCTTTCTA